CATAACTAGTTTGTGGTATTCTAGATAATTGTTCCAGAAGAAACAGCCTAACTGGCAAAAACAAGCCTTATTGGCAAGATAAAAGAATGCATGAATGTGATATATTTCCTATGGTATATAGATCATTAGAGCCATTGTACCAAAATTATATAGCCATTACAAAGGAATTCCAGTGACTGCTGTATATTAAATGCAAGGTCTATGTATAACTATCAGTGTTTGAATCTCTTGCAGCTCTTTTTCTTACCTGTTCTATGTAAAAGGCAAGAAGCAAATAGCTTTTCAGTGAGAGATAGCGTTCCCATCTACGCCTTATTTTGGTAACGGCCTGATCACCATGCAGGAATTAACTTTAAATGTCTACCTAGGTCATTTGTAGGTGAATTCCTCCTTTTTTTCTCCTTGTAACTGCTCTCATACAATATCTTAATCCAACTTGTAGAAGTGAAACTCTGGCAGCCTTAAGTATATAATTTCCTTCCTATTACATTATTCCTTCCAGTACAGGAGGTACCCAGTGTTTGTCATCTAAGAGTGTCATATCATTACATTGCATATTGCAGTGTAATGATGTGAAATGATTAAATGACAAAATGCCAGTTTGCTGCCAAAAATTTAAAGTGCCACACTTTTATTTGCAGATGGAAAAGCTATTATTAATTTCCATGCAGGCTTTGCCAGCTGAAATACAAGCAGCCTGAAAATGAGGGTTGCTGCAATTGTAGCTTTGATTTTAACATAAGAGGTAGAAGGACTTGTATGTAATTGTCCAGATCTGCCCAGATCTGAAATCAGCTGACCAACCAAAGAGACTGTTTCAGTGCAGGTCTCCTGACAAATTACCAAGGAAAATAATTTTTAAAAAATCCCTTATTTACAAAAGAGGAATAATGCACCATTTGGAACTTATTTATTAATCTATCATATTTATACCCACCACAATCATGCAAAGACTCTTGATGGGTCATAAACATTAAAAAAACACGGTAACACTACAAGTGTTATAAAATAAAACCAGCAGTAAATATAAGCAAAGCTAAACTCCAAAAAGTTATCTGCTGATAGCCCATTAATCTCCTACAGAAACGTTCCATTTTAAAAAACTTATGGAAGCAACCAGAGTTAGGGCCAAACGGTCTTCTTGTGGGAAGTGGCCATTCCAGAAATTGGAAGCAGAAAAACAGGGCCTTTGAGACTCAATCCCCAACCTCCTGAAAATAGAACACAGCAGGTTGCTCTGAGGGTCTTCCAATAGAACCTTACAATCTTCTCCCTAAACTCATTGTTAATTATGATGTGACTATGGAAGATATTTGAGGCTGTGTGGCATCTGGATGTTCTTCTTACCCAATGTATTCTAACATAGCAGAAGTTGATGCAAAGAGTAACTCAGTTCACGTGCAATTTCACATAAATATATTTCGTGAACTTTAATCTGAAACCTATCTCATAATCCACACTTGGAATACTGCATCCAGTTTTGGTCACCACAATGTAAAAAAGATGTTGAGACTCTAGAAAGAGTGCAGAGAAGAGCAACAAAGATGATTAGGGGACTGGAGACTAAAACATATGAAGAACGGTTGATGGAATTGGGTATGTCTAGTTTAATGAAGAGAAGGACTAGGGGAGACATGATAGGAGTGTTCCAATATCTCAGGGGCTACCACAAAGAAGAGAGAGTCAAGCTATTCTTCAAAGCACCTGAGGGCAGGATAAGAAGCAATGGGTAGAAACTAAACAAGGAGAGAAGCAATTTAGAACTAAGGAGAAATTTCCTGACAGTTAGAACAATTAATCAGTGGAACAACTTGCCTCCAGAAGTTGTGAATTCTCCAACACTGGAAGTTTTTAAGAAGAGATTGGACAACCATATGTCTGAAATGGTATAGGATTTCCTGCCTGAGCAGGGGGTTGTACTAGAAGACCCTTCTAAGGTTCCTTCCAACTCTGTTATTCTGTTCTGTTCTGTTCTGTTCTGCTCTGCTCTGCTCTGCTCTGCTCTGCTCTGCCCTGCCCTGCCCTGCCCTGTCCTGTCCTGTCCTGTCCTGTCCTGTCCTGTCCTGTCCTAGCCTAGCCTAGCCTAGCCTAGCCTAGCTTAGCCTAGCCTAGCCTAGCCTAGCTCACCATTAATGCATTGCCATAGAAATGCTACTCCATGGTCATTCTTTTTGCTATTAAATAAATGCTTAACATGCTGATGAAAGCAGTGATAGGGAAATAGGCAGTCTACTGGAGCATTATATCACAGCAGCACTGAGAGTTTCTTAAGGGAAGTTAGGGAGTTTAGAGAAAACAGATAATTGTCAATGAAAATTCTCAATCATCAGGTAATGTTTCTGGTAGTTGAGTCACGGCTACTAGACTTCTTTTCTTGTTGGTTTGAAACATTTTGCTTATCCAAGTAGCTTCTTCAGTCAGGGCAATTTGGTTAGAGGGACGCCATATATGTCCTCCAGGGAGATTTCATTTCTCACCTAATTTGGATTGGCTCATTACCTGCATAGGCAGAGAGTTGTAAATGTTCCAACTCCTAAATCCTTTACTCTAAGTGGGTCATTAAGTGTGGTCTCCCTGGTGAACCTATGAAGTGGTCATAATCTTCCTGTGGATTGATGAAAGAGCAGCATAAAAAATGGGGCAGGTTGTGTCTAAGGCTTCCACCTCAACTGAGGGAAAGGATTTCCACTTTGGCATAAATGTATTCTTTTTTCCTCTCTCAAACCATCGATCTTCCCTATCTAAAATGTTAATATTATAGTCTTCGAAAGAGTGTCCTTTTTCTTTTAAAAGAAGTTAAACTGCTGATTCTGGTCCTGTGTGTATCATAGCAGCTGATTCTGGTCCTGTGTGATCATAGCAGCACAAGAACAAGCACTAAGCACCAGACCAATAGAAGCAGGGGTCTACTACATTAGACAGACCATAAGGTGCAAACTGTGCAAAGAATCTCAGGGACAGTCCAACACATAGTGGCAGGATATAAGATAAAGGCAGGAACAGCGTTCACTACATGACACAACCAAGTTGCTGGCATTGCGGACAGAAACATCTACAGAGTAATAGACTAGACTAGGGATGGGGAACGATAGTCTCTTTATGACATGTGTACTTCAACTCACAGAATTCCTGAGCCAGGCATTCTGGGAGTTGAGGTCCACAAGTCATAAAGGGAAGGTCTAGCCCCATCTCTGGGCTAGACCCTCCCAAGTCCAGATGGGAGGTTCCATAGAAGGTCATGGAGAATAAGAGGGCTAAAATCCTGTGGGTCTTCCAGATCCAGAATGATGGGCAGTACTGGTCAATCAACCAGACATCATAGTAGTACCGTAGACAAAAACCAGAAGAGAACTGGAGAGTTGTCAGCAGCATAAATGTAGTAGTGCAAACAGATAGCAACATCAGGAGGAAGGAATATGAGAATATGAGAAGTATTGAGGCCTGAAGGAGGAACTAGAGAGGACGTGGACAGTAAAGGCCAAAGTAGTGCCAGTGGTGGTAGGAGGCTATGACTCCTAAACTGGGAGAGTGGCTCCAATTAATCCCAAGAACAACATCACACTCCAGAAGATTGGAGTGGTGGAAGCAGCTAAGACACTGGGAAGAACCCTCAAACTCCCAGGCCTCTGATGGAGGACGCAAGATTGAGAAAGATGCATATACCACCCATAGGAGCGAGAAGGGATTTTTCAGAATTTCTTTTTTACTTCCCAGACTAATCTACAGACTTGGTATTTCCTGGTAGTCTCCCATCCAAGTGCAAAACCCTGCTTAGGTATTTTTATTTTTATTTTATTTTTTTAGAACCAGTGAAATTCAGTTAGGTGCTGCCACCTGCTGAAACTAAGGGGAAAAAATGATGTGAGTTACACAAATCTCCCTACTATGAATATTTATACAAATAGATAGTACAGGTTGAATGAGTGAGTGAGTGAGTGAATGAATGAATGAATGAATGAGTACAAATATAAACAACTTAGAACATATTATTCTGTAGGACAGTAGGTTTCTTTATGAAGTATTTCCAAAGCTTAGTCCTCTTTTTCTCCTTCTGATTACGCAGTATTCCCACATTCATAGATATTTATTATCTAACTGTCAATGCTAAGCAGGCATCTTCAAACGACTTTAGAAACTGGCTACCTTACTTAGGAGCAAACTGTCACTGGGAAGCAGTTGTGGATTCCTCATGATTTGGCAGAACTTAATTACTTTCTCTTTGCAACTTTCTTCTTGATGTTGTAAACTGCCGCAGCTAAAAGAGCTGATGAAACAGAAAAAGTAGGAGTCCATGCCATTCAATGAGAGTCTCACCAGGTCTCCTAAAAGCAGTGCTTAACTTAAAGTAATGCATTATATTTGGAACTCCGTCTGTTTGACAATGCATTTCATGCCTCATTGCCTGCTAGTTGTGAGCTCGGATAAATACTCATATAGCAAATCCACATTTTTCACGTCAAAATGCCCTACAGTTCTTGCCTCCTCTGTTGGATGTCACTTGTTAAATAGAATCATGCAAGGTCTCACATTCTTCATACCATAAACTGTTGTGACATTAAACCTTAATCTGTCTTCACAGATCCCCAGTTTCTTCCCGCTATTAGATTATTTTTAAAACATCTTCTCCTTTTTTCAACTTTGCGATAATTTTCTTTACAAAGAATTAATTATGTCAGCAGAAATAGTTGAAGTAAGACTGAAGCTTCCCCAATGCAGAAGTGAGAAATCAGTTCATTGTAATTGTACTCTTTCTATAACCTAATGTGGTTTTTGCCCTTTTTTAAAAAATGTATAACATATTTCCCTGTTTTTATGATCTTTGAATCTATGAAGGCTCTGTAGGAGGTAAGCAATCTTTTTCGACTGGTGGGCACACTGAACATTTTGCTAACTTCTCATGAGCATTATGACAAAATGGCTTTGTCAGAGTGCTTTCATAGTCACAAAATGCTTGCCATTGTGGGCATGACCATTTGAAGGTTGCCAGAGGGCAAATGAATGAGGCCGTTCTCCAGCTTCTCTTCATTTCTCAAGAAATTCTGTACTCTCCCAGTTTACCAATGTCTTTTTGTTGCCTTTGTAGATGGGGATGCTTGCAAACAAGGATTGAGGACAGATGGATCCCAAGCCAGAGAAGACGATAAAAACATATTTCATTTGGTTTCAAGACCACCAAGTATCATATGAAGTATCCTTTAAAATGGGCAGGTTGGGGGAAGAAGACTTAATTTGAAACACCTGCCAAAAATTCTAATCTAGATGAAGTGTGCCTGAGAGTTTTCAGCCAAGTCAAATTGAAGATTTGGGAAGTATTGAATCATTAGTGATTTTCTACTAAGCCCCAAATAGGAAGCCTGACAGTATTAAACTACAACGCCTATAATTTTTCAAAACATGTTGCTATGTTCTCTGCCATAGTTCATAAATATTGTGATATGGATGTTTAGTGGATGACAATTCTATAACAAATTCACAGAAGGGGTCCATCTATTTTCCAAAGTACCAGAATGCAAGACAAGAAATAATGGATGCAAACTAATCAAGGAAAGAAGCAATCTGGAATTAAGGAAAAACTTCCTAACAGTGAGGACAACTAACCTGTGAAACAGCTTGCCTTCAGAAATCATGGACGCTTCATCCCTGGAGGCTTTTAAGAAGACACTGGGGAGACACTTGTCTGAAATAGTATAAGATCTCCTGCTTGAGCAGGGGGTTGGACTAGGAGATCTACAAGATCCCTCCCAACTCTATTATTCTGTATTCCATATATCTTCTCCTGAAAATTTACTGGGACTTACTTCTACTATATATTAGGTTCTCCAGACCCATTACAGCTCAGCCCAAAGTTCTTATCTGCCAAGGTAGGGAATTTCATAAGACTAGGGAGAATTAGGGCCTGACTACCCTAAAAGAAATCTTAGTTTGAAAGAGCTCCATTAGAATTTGTAAGAAATCTTGGGTCCTGACCTGCTATGTATGTTGATTTATTCAGCAAAATGATTGTACTAAAAGGAATCCCTGCGGTGAACAATTGCTCTGTTCATTTCTTTCTTTTATTTTATAAACATTTAACCTCTGATAAAATTACACAGTCAATTCAGACTGCATATTGTACAACCAATTTGCCTCTACACAAGAGAATCAATTCTTATTTTTAAAGCTTGGGAGGATATTAAAGGATTTCCTTTTCCGTGTGCTCATAACTACATGACTTTGCCTGGGAGAAGAGCCACAAATGGTTAGTTAGGTGACATCAAGTTGGATTCAACTTCTGGTGTCAGCATGGATAAATGGTCACAATTTGTCCCTAGTAATAACTTTTAGCTCTTCCAAAGACATTCCTGTAATCGCCTTGACCCTATCTATCTGCCTTATCCATTGTCTGCCTCTTTTTCTATCTCCCTCAACCTTACCAAGCATAATCATTTTTTTCCAGTCTATCATCTGCTCGCATCGTACGGTGAAACTGTGTGAGTTTCTGCTTGCTGATCATCTTTTCAAGGGAGCTCTCAGTCTTTATTTGGTCCACAAGTGACTGACTGATTCATTCTGCAGTTTGTTATAATCTTAGCAACCTTCGCCAAACACAAAATTTGCCAGTGTTTTATCTTCTTTTACTTACTCTTTCACTACTGTATATTACCACTAGCAAAACAAAATAAAAATAATAGAGCAAATACTGAGGCCTGCAGAGTGAAAATCTGGAGTCTAAAACTTATCTCCCAGAAGGTCTTTGTCTTCATAACTTGATCCTTCCTTCTGCGTTGAGTAGCAAGAAGAAAGTTCCAGCTGCCAAAAGTATCTTCCACCAAATGTTTGTGTCATATTTCCTCCCCTTAACCCAGTGGTGGGTTGCTTCTGGTTTGCCCTGGATTGGGCGAACCGGTAGCAGTGGTGGGAGGCTCCGCCCACCCACCCGAACGTCTCTGCGCATGCACAGAAGCTTCCAGCATGCGCCCATGAATGAACTGGTAGTGACAGGATTTGAATGTCTGCCCTTAACCCAAATATGAAGAAGAATGGGGCCCCTCACATGTTGCACTACCTTTCTGGGATTAAAAAGTCAAAATATAAACACCAAAATAATTTAGGCCGTACCATCTCCTGACTTCCTCTCCAGCCTTGGAATATTAAGCTCTCTTCAAAGGGATAAACAAAAATCAAATTATCTTATTTTTTTTTAAAAAAATGTAAACTCCCTTTTCAAGTATTAAAATTCAATATGGAAGAAGATAACTAAAGATTTCCCCAAATAATGATGGTCTGTTACAAAAGAAGAGACTTCTTCCCAAATTCATAGTTCACAAATGCAAATCATTACAGATTCCGAGAAGTTTCTAAATAAATAAAATTAAATGTACTATGTTCATGTACATAGCCTGAGGTAAGAAATGAGTCTGAAATTAAGCACTCTATTTCATTTCTTATACAGAGAGATAAAGAAAATGAAATTGAGCACAACATAGAAAACAGGCATTAAAAAGCTAGTGCAAATTCCAGACTATTCGTGCCACCTATTTTTTTCAGAAATAGAAATTTTCCTGAAGTCTTGGTCTTCTTCAATTTCCCAGGTTTTCTTCTGTCAGAGATTTCTGACATTAATCAGAAGCTGTTAAAGACTCTGGATGCACAGTTCTTCATGTAGTTTTCTCCATGGACTTCTATTCCTTTCTTATAAAAAGTTCAAAATTTCCTATCTAGGTTGGGATGATTTTATTCGATGTGGAATGGGAAACGGAGTCTGCAATCTGACTATATTAACAACTTCATGACTTCTTTTTCAATGACTGAGTCAGTATTGACTCCTGGCAAACTGCTTGAAATAGTCCCTGAAATTTTCTTGGCAACATTTTTCAGAACTGGTTTGCCACTGTATAGGGATGAGAAGGATAGATTGGCCCAAGGTCACCAGCTGACTTTGTGCCTAGTGCTTTAATCACAGTACCAAACCTTAACACTATACCAGTTATGACTTCACATTTACTATTCTTTGTCATTTTTAATACAGCTCTCTCTCTCTCTCTCTCTCTCTCTCTCTCTCTCTCTCTCTCTCTCCCTCCCTCCCTCCCTCCCTCCCTCCCTCCCTCCCTTGGAATGTTACCTCTAAAAATTCAACCTAGTCTCTTCCGACTGGCAAATATAATCCGAAACATCTGTCAGATATTCTAAGTTATATCTGAAACTGGATTTAGGATTAGGTCTTAAATATATCTAGTGAACATATTCTAAAAATATTAGGATGAGAAGTAATAGATTAAACCAAAAATAAGGGGCCAGCACACTTAAAATTTGAGATTGCAAGTGATTCCACTTTGGTACTGGGAAGAAAAATGTAAGAGGAGCTCACTATGAAAATAAAGATAGAAAAATGAAAATGTGAGTTGAAGATAATTGATACAAAAGAAATAATTTGTTTTTCAGAGAAGGGATTAGAATAGATAAAATTTTTAGAGGTAACATTCCAATTAGGAATATGCTGGTTTTCTATATCCTTAAATAAAACTGCAATGCAGTATTTCCTGATGACCCAAATAATGGTATAGATGTACATATTCTTTTATTATATGAAGAAATTTCCTGATGGTCAGCATTAGGACGTTTGGAAATATGCAGGAAGAAAAGGGTTAATTTAATTGTTTCTTTCCCCCACCATTCTTCTGGAAAATATCTATAACTTTTCCATGGATTTCAAAGAAAACTATCCTTGGAATACAAGTAACAGCTAAAGGATTTCTGATGGGACTATGCCGAGGAGGAAATAGTAAACTAGTCCTCCATTATTCTGAATCTGCTCAGGATAATAGAATAAAAGAGTTGGAAGGGACTTTGGAAGTCTTCTAATCAATTCCCTGGTCATGTCCAGATACTATTCTGGACCAATGGCTGCCCAATTTCTCCTCAGAAACTTCCAGTGATGAAGCTCCCACAGCTTCTGGAGGAAAGCTGTTCACTGAATAGTTGTTCTCACTGACAGAAAATTTATCCTTAGTTTTAGGTTGGATATTCAGAACCACAGTGTCATATCTACTTTGATACTCTAATCGCTTGTGAATCTCTTTCTTAAGAAGCTTACTTTGTGTAAGCCTAACATAATAGCATACATCGAAAACAAGTTTTTCCTAGGTGCTGCACCTGATTGATAGTTGGCTATAATCCCAAAGGCTTTCTACTGTTATATTTATTTTGATTTGGATAATTTAATTTTATACTCATTCTTTTCTTTTTCACAATTGCTTTACTAACCAGCCTTTGCAGTCAGCTTGAATATCTAATTTGAAATCTATGCTTTATTTTTGGCTAGAAAATGTAGGTTGGTATGCATACATAATATATATGACGTACCACTGCAGATTTTCCAAGTTTGCACTTAGAATTGTAGTATTAAGTATGGCAAGAAGCTATTTTAAGAAGTAGGAAGGAAATATCACTAAATTATACTTTATTCTCTAGAATTCCTTCATCTCATAATTGTCAATGCCTGCTTTTTCCCCATTTAGGGCAGTAGTTAAGTGGGTTGATTCTACGTTTTGAGAAAAGTTAAATTTTCTGAAGGAATTTCTTAGTTTCAAACAAGAATATCTTCCTTCTGTGCCTCTGCATATATCAAATCAATACAAAACAAAGAGATGAGTTGGATATTCTTTTAAAGCAACTGAAATTAGAAAGGTGTAGAACAACAAATTAAGTTTCCATACACCTTTCAAGCTGAGACTCAAACCTAGATGGATTTTTTTTATTCTGTTTAAATAAAAGCTTTTCTTCAGACTGTTTCTAGGAGGTCTTTCCTACATTAAGCTATATTTCTTCAGTATATTGGGTAACATTTCATTCTTGTAAAATATGCTGAATCCCACAAAGAACCATTGGTGAGATACTTAAACACTCTCAAGACCTCATATTTCAAGGACCTTCCTGACATTAGAAAGACGGCATCTGACAAATAAGGTTGAATGAAAGGGCTGTAAAGGAAGAAAGAAAACAAATAATACTTCCAGCAAAGTAAAGAAATAGAAGGTTTCCAATAGAGAGATATATGCAAGGCATGAAAATTTCAGCTTCAAGCATATTGTAGTCTTGAGGGGAAGGGGGAAAAAATTAAGCACAAGCTGGGATAAAGCACCTAGCTAAGCAGAAAAAGACCTTTTGGAGGCAAAAATTTGTGACTAAAGTGTCTGTGACAGAAAGGTAATACGAATGATATACAGTTGCATTGTAGTCATTGGATCTTTAATTGAGCAAACAGATGTGTTCTTGCATAAAAGAGCTTGAGAACAGACTGAGAATGAGGTGTTGCTGCTTTGTTTCTCCTTGCCACACATTGGAAGGATGGGTAAATTCAAATGATTTAAAAAATAATTGGTCTGACCCAGCAGCTGAGTAGCCATTTTGGAAGGAGTAAAAGAAGTGTTACTTAGGTGACAGAATTCAATTATATCTGTGCCTACACAAACACACAGATGTCTCAGAAACGTCAGCCTAATAAGAACGGCACTGTCTCCCTTTTGGAAATTCCAGTGCTTTCTTTGGGAAATTCGGGATGCTTTCCATCTTATTTACCATGTGCCTATCTAAACTAGGTTTATTTGCTGTGTTATTTTGGTGGTTGATTCCAATATATTGAACATATTGCTATTTATTGTGCACATCATGGTGAATTAGATCCCTCTGGTTTTCACTTATTTTTTTTGCAATTATAATCTAACATCCTATCTCCCAGGGGTGAAATCCTCTGAAGTCTGCTACCAGTTCTGTGAGTCGGCTACCGAGCGCGCGCTTCATGAGCACATGCGCAGTTTGCATGCATGTGCGCCTGAGGTGCGTCTGCGCAGTGCTAAAAGAGGAACATTTTGAAGCCTACCGAGTCTGCAAAGGTAAGTAGAACAGCGAGGGGGGGGGAATCCGCTGTGCAGATTAGATTAGCTAGAAAGCAGGAAATCCGACGATTCTAGCTAATACAAATCACGTGTCACAGCTGATCGTCGCCCAGCTGATCATCAAAAATACCGGTTCGGATGAATTTTTTACTATTGGTTCTCCTGAACCAGTCTGAACCTGTAGCATTTCACCCCTGCTACCTCAATTTCCATTTAAACTAGAGATTCTTGCTTTTCTTGTTGAAATGAACACCTTCTGTTTTCTAATAGCATGGAGCAGTGATCTAGATCAACCAATTTGTTTAGATCAACAAATCAGTGTAATTTATAATTGATATCTTGGGGGGGAGGGGTCTGTGGGAGAAGGTCCAAAAATTAACAGGATGATTACAGCTGTACAATCCCATTCTTTTTATCTAGGCATTGTTGAATAACCTATCTTTTTTTTTTTCCTTTCTGAAAACTATACATTTCCAGCCTCTCCCATCTGTCTTTAATGGACTTCGTTAATCCTTTAGTTATATTTGACCTTCTGTGAACCTGATTCAGTCTATAGAGACAAGGTGGCGCAGTGGTTAGAGTGTAGCACTGCAGGCTACTTCAGCTGACTGCTAGCTGCAGTTCAGCAGTTCAAATCTCCCCGGCTCTAGGTTGACTCAGCCTTCCATCCTTCCGAGGTGGGTAAAATGAGGACCCAGACAGTTGGGGGCAATATGCTGACTCTGTAAACTGCTTAGAGAGGGCTGTAAAAAGCACTATGAAGCAGTATATAAGTCTAAGTGCTATTGCTATTGCTATTTGAATTCTTCTTAGAAAGTCGTGAGCATAGAATTAGACTTGAGATGGAAACTGACATGCAAAGAAAAACTTTTTAAGGTAATGCCATGGAGATTCAGATCATGGTTGAATGACCATGTCATTCAGATCATGGTTGTCCCAAAGGTGCTTTTTCAAAAGGCAACTGGACTTTCTGGTTTTTCTTTGAAGACACTTTGGTTCTCATCTAAGAACCTTCTTCAGCTTTGACTGGATGGTGGGGAATGGAAGGATTTATACTCCTTGCAGACAGCTGAACATTTGCATTCTTTTAGCAAGTCGTTAAGGTCTCCTGGAGATTTATCTGTGTCCTCAGGGTCACCTGAGTGGTGCAAATGGGTGTGGAGCCTTCTTGGAACTGTTGAAAGGATTGTGTTGTAGATTGGAGATAGATGATGTTGTATCCCTCCCCCTCTGTTGAGAGAGGGCTGTTCAATTTTGGCTGTTTTAATTTCTAGGGTAATTTGTCCAAATGATTTCTGTAGAACAGGAAACTGGAGCATCGGCTTGGAAAGTTATCAACAAGTCAAATCTAACCATCTTCCTGGTGAAGCCCCATAGAATATGCAATTCATTTATGCTTTGTAGTGCATGTTGTTGTTGTTCAGTCATTGTACATGTCTGACTCTTCACAACCTCATGGACTATGGCACACCAGGTTCCCCTGTCCTCCATTGTCTCCTGAAGTTTGCCCAAATACATTGTGTCATCTAACTATCTCATTCTCTGGTGTCCCCTTCTCCTGTTGCCTTCAATTTTTCCCAACGTCAAGATTTCTTCCAATGAATCCTCTCTTCTCATCTGGTGGCCAAAGTATTTGAGCTTCAGCTTCAATTATCTGTCCTTTGAAAGAACAGTCAGGGTTGATTTCCTTTAGGATTATATTATATTACTCTTTACACCTATTATTACACCTATATTACTGCTTATATTACTCTTCCAGTTATATTGAAACTAAGGTATTCAACCTCATCAGAAATCTGAAATATTTGCAGGCAGAGAGGTTTGGAAATTAAGTTAAGGGTGGCCATAGCCTGCACATTTCTGTTCTAGTTGGTTCAACTCTGAGCATGTGATTTAAGTTTCTAAAAACATCTTCACATTAATTTCTGTGTCCTATTCAAAGTGCAGGTGTTAGTTTGGGATTTGTGCACCTAAAGGAATGCACAATCTTCAGTCAAAAAGTGCCAACATTTTTTTTTGAGATTATGGTGTGATTATTCTTTTTCCTAATGATTGTTTCCTGACATTATTTGGATACTTGGCACCAGCTAAAGATTGACTTTCAAAGTTTTATCTTATTTAGGCTTTTGACTGTTACTAGTTTTTATATTATTCTTTTTATTTAATTTGGTACACTTTTATTGAATTCAGTACAATCTATTTAAGCAGAGGGTAGCAAAACAGCAAATAAATAAATGTATTTATTTAAATGTATTTATTTGTACCCTGCCTGCTTCTTAGGTCTGAGAAAGGTCACCCACCTGGCTTTGTGCCTAAGGCAGGACTAGAACTCACCACTTTCTAGCCTGTTGACTTAACCACTAGACCAAACTGCCTCTCTAAAAGCAATTAAAAATAAGGCAAATTCTATGATGTAGGATGAAAATGTCAAGGAAACTGGACAGTTTTTAACTTTTAAAGCATCATTGTTCCTATTCTACATTTCATAAATATATGACCTACCAAATTCCTCAGTGAGGACTGCATTTAAAATGCTTTTCACTCACATTTTGAGGATGGTGTAATAAAACAGTACTTTATAACCCATGCAAGTTCTATTAAATAAGGGCACTGAAGAACCCCTGTTCCATCTGAGATAGGCTTGTCAACTTAATCTAATTTCCATGACCGTGTGCACAAAGCATGGTAAAGCTATAGTCCTCTCTGGGTGGTTTTAAGAATTAATTATTTAGGTTTCCTATTTCTATTTAATAATATCTGCACATTACTGCATTTCATTTATTCCTTTATGGCTTACAATATTAGTCTAATTATTACTCTGGGTACCTCCATGCATGACATGATACAAAACATTCTGTTCATCAAACTACAGAACGAACCGCTGAGGCAGGCCAACCATAAAGCTGAGGAAAGTTTGTTAGGCCCAATATGCTAATAAATTCTGGCAAGATGCTTGTTGCAAAAATGTCATCTTGTCAAAGACTTAATCATGGCTGATTGTCTTGGTATCTTTATATTATACTGGGAGAAATTATTGTTTACAACTTCAGCGCCTGTGAGCTTCATCATTTCACTCTTTTCTTCCCAACCTACGACTATTGAGAAGCTGAGGAAACAAACATTGCAGTCTGACTTGCTTCTCTTGTTTGTCTAAAAGCTTGATCCAGTAAAGCTGTGAGAAAGAGGATGAATGAAATTTGTGCAGCACTATAAAAAAAAAAAAGATCAGTATTCATAATTTTGCAAGTTACAGCGATGTAAATTTTTTACATTGAACTTATTACTGCAGTAAGTAGTAAAATGATCAGCTACAGATAGTATCTGCTTCAGGGGTGGGTTCTAGTTACCTTTACTACCGGTTCACAGTGGGGCCGTGCGTGCTCGCTTCACTCACGTGCATGTGCACTCTTCTGCACATGTGCAGAAGAATTTGGATGACTTTGGGGTCGGTGGGCGGAGCTTCCCGACGGTTTTACTGCCATTTCTATAGAACCGGTGCGAACCAGAGGCAACCCATCACTGATCTGCTTTCACTCATATTGTATAATATATTGCAGTAGTTCTCAATCTTTTCTTCACCACGGATCCTTTTTAAATACCTTTTGCGGCCACGGTCCATGGCCACGGACAACCAGGCTTAACTCAAGATTTAAATACTAACATGTCTTCAAACCTTCACAGACCCCCCTGTGATGACATTGTAGCCCCTCAGTGGTCCGTGAACCACAGGTTGAGAACCACAGGTTTTAATGTATTAATAGATAATTGTATAAGGAAAGTTTGTAGGAATGTTAAATATGTGTTGGGTGTATGAATGGATCTACATTGTTGTATGCAGACAGTGATACATTTTTGGCTGCCAATCTTCATGGTTTGCAGTGAATATTTG